AGTGACCACTAACAAGCGTGACCTTCCCACAGAGTGACCACTAACAAGCGTGACCACTAACAAGCGTGACCTTCCCACAGAGTGACCACTAACAAGCGTGACCTTCCCACAGAGTGACTACTAACAAGCGTGACCTTCCCACAGAGTGACAACTAACAAGCGTGACCTTCCCACAGAGTGACTACTAACAAGCGTGACCTTCCCACAGAGTGACCACTAACAAGCGTGACCTTCCCACAGAGTGACTACTAACAAGCGTGACCTTCCCACAGAGTGACAACTAACAAGCGTGACCTTCCCACAGAGTGACTACTAACAAGCGTGACCTTCCCACAGAGTGACCACTAACAAGCGTGACCTTCCCACAGAGTGACTACTAACAAGCGTGACCTTCCCACAGAGTGACCACTAACAAGCGTGACCTTCCCACAGAGTGACTACTAACAAGCGTGACCTTCCCACAGAGTGACAACTAACAAGCGTGACCTTCCCACAGAGTGACTACTAACAAGCGTGACCTTCCCACAGAGTGACCACTAACAATTTGGCTCCTCCCTCCTGCGCGTCCAAAAACGCTTTTTTTTTTATTTCAGAAGTAGTTTTTTTAGCATTTTTGATTAATAATAATTCTGTTTGTTACAGTGGAGCATTTTTGGTTTTTTCATTCTAGTCCACATGTTATACTCAAATTCTGTCAGTTGAAATGTAACCAATCACAGGCGAGTAGGCCTCTGACGTCATGCCAGACAGAGGAGCATCAGGCATGCTCCCAGCAGCCGCAGTTAGCCTCACAGACTCAGAGTAGAAGGACCTCGGCTAGGCAGATATATACCTTGTTGCCTCACTCAATAAATATAAACAGAAGCGACTACTGTGTCTACATTCTACCCGAACAAGGCAAACGAATACACAGACTGTGTTGTTTTAGAGATTATTAATATTGTTCGCGGGTGAATTTAATTTTGGTGACGCGGTAATGTAATTCATTTTCTAGTACAGACGCCACATTCACAATTTTCTTGTAGGGTTAACTAAGGTATTTGGTGATAATTATATTTAATATTTATTTAACATAAACAGTAACTATTTTCTTGCCTATTATGTTAAGGGTTAATAAATTATGTCGGAAATTTCCGACGCGACTGTTATTGAATTATTTTTGAAACGATCTTAATTGAGAGAAGCGCTGCTTCAGAGCCTCATACCATTTACATATGTTGTTGTATGAGCTGTAACGTTCTGAACCCTCTAAGCCAGGATGACGACCCCTGACGTAAGATTATGACATCATAGTGGAAGACATCATTACTCCGTGTTGTTATCTTGGCCATTGGACATCTTGTTGTGGGCCAGTTGAGCTCAATGTGAGCCCATTGCAAGTGCAAGGTGTAATTGCAGGTCTCCGTGAGAATCCAGTCATTACAACATCTTTCCCTATACTATAGGAGCTCACCCCTATCAAGATTACTATCATTCCCTTCCCACACAAAAATGTGATTAAAGGTCGACCCCTGATACAGCTTGAGGCAAATGTTCCTGTTCATAGATCGCTCCCTCTCACGATTAAAATATTTCTACTGGTGGTTGCCAACACTCCACTGGTGCCGCCGGGAGGGCAGTTGTGGGGACAGCGGATGATGGCTATAACCGGACCTCCACTCTTCAAACAGAATTGTCTGCCTTGACCTTCGAACTCAAACAAATGTAAGTATCCAAAGATGATACACAAATTGTGACTATCATTCATGATAGTCACAATTTAACTTAACTCCTCAAGACATAAATATAACATGCTTGTGTCTGAAGCAAGGCTCAAATATAATAAAATGATTTCCCATGGATCCTCTTCCGTATTGGCCTCGGAATGCACGATGAAGCTGACGAGTTAACCAAAGCATGTGCTCTTAAAGAGGAACTTGACTACCACTTTGGACCGCCTTTCAGCAGCCTGATGACAGTAATATACAGAGAACTGTGACAAAATTTACCAGTCCTTAGACAGTGAAATTAACGCTAGTTATTCTGTCCATCATCATACTGATGTGCACGAGACGCCACTTATCTCTGAGTTATCCAATAAAGGTCAGCAGACCTCTAGACGTTACTAGTGCTAGGCTGGCGCAGTTACACCTACCATCTGCTGAAGTAGATCCGACCAAATTTTTATTTGTATTTGTTTATTTACATATACAAGAGTTCTTACATTCTTGTACAGCCACTAGCACGCATAGCGTTTCCGGCAAGTCCTTAATGCTAAAGTTCTCCGGAATACGACCCGCCAAATCGTTTAACAACCAGATTTTATTGTTGGGTAAACAGAGGCTAGAGTTTAGGATTGGCGCCCAGTAAATCCTCCCCGGCCAGGACACGAAGGCCAAAGGCCAAAGCCCAGGCAAAGGCCAAAGCGCTCGCGAAATACCAGGCGAGTGTCTTACCATTTCGCGACGGGGCTGCTTGGCTAAGTCCCCCGTGGTGACAGAAATGTAAACCCTGTCCTATTCACGTACTTTACTTGACTGTGCAATTACATGTGAAGACTTCAAGAATTTAGAAATAATACTTCCATCCCAAATGCTCAGGAAATGTACAACTACTCCGTTCAAAATGAAGTGCTACATGAAGACTTTCCACCGCCGCCTACTGGATGGGTGTGGGGGGTGCATAATAGGCAAAACAAATAATGTGTAACTAACTCACTACAAGTGTAAATTGCTTAGCTTAGAGATTGCTGTAGTCCAGTTCTTTGACACTGACACCTTTCTGCCAACAACAGAATGTGAGTGGGGTTTATAATGCACCAACTACACAACTACAACTCGCACTCTTTGTGAACGAGGTGCACTTAAGGTCAACTCACAGGTTGGGTATGGGGGTTCACTACAGCTCACAGGATGGGTATGGGGGTTCACTACAGCTCACAGGATATGTATGGGGTACACTACAGCTCACAGGTTGGGTATGGGAGTTCACTACAGCTCACAGGTTGGGTATGGGAGTTCACTACAGCTCACAGGTTGGGTATGGGAGTTCACTACAGCTCACAGGTTGGGTATGGAGGTTCACTACAGCTCACAGGATGAGTATGGGGTTCACTACAGCTCACAGGATGGGTATGGGGGTTCACTACAGCTCACAGGATGGGTATGGGGGTTCACTACAGCTCACAGGATGGGTATGGGGGTTCACTACAGCTCACAGGATATGTATGGGGTTCACTACAGCTCACAGGTTGGGTATGGGGGTTCACTACAGCTCACAGGATGAGTATGGTGTTCACTACAGCTCACAGGATGAGTATGGGGTTCACTACAGCTCACAGGATGGGTATGGGGGTTCACTACAGCTCACAGGATGGGTATGGCGGTTCACTATTGCTCACAGGATGGGTATGGGGGTTCACTACAGCTCACAGGATGAGTATAGGGGTTCACTACAGCTCACAAGATGGGTATGGGGTTCACAACAGCTCACAGGTTGGGTATGGGGGTTCACTACAACTCACAGGTTGGGTATGGCGGTTCACTATTGCTCACAGGATGGGTATGGGGGTTCACTACAGCTCACAGGATGGGTATGGGGGTTCACTACAGCTCACAAGATGGGTATGGGGTTCACAACAACTCACAGGTTGGATATGGGGGTTCACTACAACTCACAGGTTGGGTATGGGGGTTCACTACAGCTCACAGGATGAGTATGAGGGTTCACTACAGCTCACAAGATGGGTATGGGGTTCACAACAGCTCACAGGTTGGGTATGGGGGTTCACTACAACTCACAGGTTGGGTATGGCGGTTCACTATTGCTCACAGGATGGGTATGGGGGTTCACTACAGCTCACAGGATGGGTATGAGGGGTTCACAACAGCTCACAAGATGGGTATGGGGTTCACAACAGCTCACAGGTTGGGTATGGGGGTTCACTACAACTCACAGGTTGGGTATGGCGGTTCACTATTGCTCACAGGATGGGTATGGGGGTTCACTACAGCTCACAGGATGGGTATGGGGGTTCACTACAGCTCACAAGATGGGTATGGGGTTCACAACAACTCACAGGTTGGGTATGGGGGTTCACTACAACTCACAGGTTGGGTATGGGGGTTCACTACAGCTCACAGGATGAGTATGGGGGTTCACTACAGCTCACAAAATGGGTATGGGGTTCACAACAGCTCACAGGTTGGGTATGGGGGTTCACTACAACTCACAGGTTGGGTATGGCGGTTCACTACAGCTCACAGGATGGGGTATGGGGTTCACTACAGCTCACAGGATGGGTATGGGTTCACAACAGCTCACAGGATGGGTATGAGGTTCACAACAGCTCACAGGATGGGTATGAGGTTCACAACAGCTCACAGGATGGGTATGGGGTTCACTACAGCTCACAGGAAGGGTATGGGGTTCACTACAGCTCACAGGATGGGTATGGGGTTCACTACAGCTCACAGGATGGGTATGGGGTTCACTACAGCTCACAGGATGGGTTTGGGGTTCACTACAGCTCACAGGATGGGTTTGGGGTTCACTACAGCTCACAGGATGGGTTTGGGGTTCACTACAGCTCACAGGATGGGTTTGGGGTTCACTACAGCTCACAGGATGGGTTTGGGGTTCACTACAGCTCACAGGATGGGTTTGGGGTTCACTACAGCTCACAGGATGGGTTTGGGGTTCACTACAGCTCACAGGATGGGTTTGGGGTTCACTACAGCTCACAGGATGGGTTTGGGGTTCACTACAGCTCACAGGATGGGTTTGGGGTTCACTACAGCTCACAGGATGGGTTTGGGGTTCACTAAAGCTCACAAGATGGAGATTTTTTAGCATCCCATACCTAGCTGTTGACACGCTACGTAAGCCTTCATATAGTTAGGGCAGCTGCATAAATGGTCATACCTAGCTGTTGACACGCTACGTAAGCCTTCATATAGTTAGTTCAGCTGCATAAATGGTCACGTAGTAAAGTGTGTTAGTATACAACGTGGAATAGTTACTCGTCAGGCCTGGAGAGGTGGACGAGGAAGGTGGTGGTGTTGACGCGGAGGCCCAGCGTCTCCCACACGCTCTCCACGAAGGTGCCCAGCAGCGGCTTGGGCGTCTCCGACAACTTCCTGGGGAGAGGGGAATATCCTTGTGTAAGTAACTAAATGAGCCATGTTGCCCTGGATCTTCAGCTCCTGTTCAACATATCCAGTTATCCATCCACACCATCTCGTTGCCCCTCAGTTTGTCATCCACTACTTTCTCCATACATCCCTCTCTCCCTACCCCTCCTCTCTCCATCACTCTCTCCCTCCCCTTGCTCCCTCCATCGCTCCCTCCCAACTATGTCCCAGTTAACTGCTACATCCTCCCCCCACATGTCTGCGCCACTCTCCTCCACATCAGCCACACCGGCCCATGCCACACACCGCAGTAATCTCCAGGAAATGAGCAGAGGCAGGACATTAGTTACATTAAATCTACACTGATACATCTGCAGCTCTAGGACTGGCAGAGCATGTACTGTACTTAAGACTTATGCAATTTTAAAACGAACTAAAAGCAAGGATTGAGAACCATATATCCTTAACGCAAGCTGAGCTCCCTGCCATTGTTATGGTATTAAGATACTCGTAGGTAATCACAACGGAGCACTGATTCAAGAGCTTCACTATAAAGTCTTGTAAAATATAGGCAGAAAACAGAAAATAAACAGAAAACATAATAAAACATAAACGAGAGACGGAAGTTAAAATTAAGAGAACTGTGAAAATGCTAATTAATCAGGAAAAGCTGATCAAGTTCCTGCAGACTCCCTCTCATGTGGAAACCCGTGGAAATGAACGAGCAGATGTGGCTCCTGCCGAGAGTGCTACAGTAGATTATTTCAGTACTTCATATCCAAGACTCTTCAGCAAATCAGAAAAATCAGTAGGCAACAGCACCATTAAAAGGTAATTGATCAGAAGGACAATTCAGTGAACCTGAGGTTGTCCGCCGACAACCTCAGTCATCATGGAGGAAAATGAGGTGGTCGAAGGTGGGAATGCGTAATAGCTGGAACATTCGCCTTAGATACAAGTACCCATTAAGATTCGGGTTGGAAACTTCAGTAGAGTTGCAGAATTTGTCACGAGGGAAATGAATATCGCCTGGACCACTACCTGAGACTGGTCCAGGACATATATATTGTTCATCCAAGAGACATTATAAATGTTGTTGTTGTTGGATTTAGGGGCTACGAGGGCATGAGTGTCTGACGTGCCCCGACTTTACCACGTAGGTTGAAACACAAACTTTTGTGGCTGTACACACATCGTCTGTCTGCGGAAAAGTACCGTGCCTTAGGCAGATGGGAGGCGAGAGGCTAGTAACACCTCAAACAGAAAACCGAGGCAGATCAAGCTCTTATCAACACCCAGAGACCCTAGATGACATGGCATCAAGTATCCTGTGAACGAACAAAGTAGAGTAGTAGAGAGAATGCAGACGTAGACCGACCCCTCAACACTACGATGCAACATTTCAGCATTGCAAGGTATGACTTTGCAACATTGCAAGTTTTCACTTTGTAATGTTGTCAGCAACAGGCATTAAGCTTAAGTGAGATGTAGAGATTTGCAGTTGGTGCAGGTAAGGCAAGGGTCCGGAGCCCTCTGATTGTGGTCACCGGCGTGAGTGATCTTTAGGAAGATGTATATATAATTTTATTCCATTGTATTTCAGAGGAAGTAAGGATCCCTAGTATAATATTTACTTGTACGTGCAGTGAAAGTACTTACCAATTTATGGTACGTCAGTTGAAAATAACTATTAAAGTATGCAGTAATTACTGCAATTCAAGGCAGAGACTTGCACTTTCTCTTCCATTCACGTATATTTTCCGAAATGTATCGGACATTTCTTGTCATGAGGTAGTTCTGACTTCGTTTGAATGACCCTATGTTCTGATAAGATCAGTGAGATGGCAATAAAACTCTCGCTCACCTATCCTTTTTTTATCCTTTTCTTTTTACCTGCATTGTCCTCTCACAAGCAGCCTCTCCCACCCCCCTTTCTCCTTCAAAGCCAACATCTCCTTCCACCCACTCTCACTCCACCTGCTTCACAGGCTTCCACCCGCTCCACCTGCTCTCACTCCACCCACTTCACCGGCTTCCTTCCACCTGCTACACCTGTTCTCACTCCACTAGCTACACCTGGTGTTCAGATAAATTAGGATGGGATGGGAATTGTCTGAAAACCTGACACCATTTATGACACCACCAATACAATATGCAGATAATATTGCTGCTGTTGTGTAAATAACAAATTAACCCTAAAAATAGTGTTTATTCACACAGAAAATGAAGCACAGTGGAAATTTCCTCGGTAGAAAATGGGATATCATTGCCACATGTCGCTATTAGATTCACTAGCTATATTAATGGGAAACATTTTTAATACAGCAGTCTTTGGACTGTAAACATAATAAAAACATTTCCCTTGAATCATCTTAATTATCAGTACCAAAATCGAGTAAATGTAAACCCTCTAACCACTTTTGACATCTGGAGAAGAGAGACAGGATGCGAGAGGGAGGGAAGACCAGAGAGGGAGTCGGCCATTAATTTTAACATCTGTTGCTGGGGCAAATCTAGCTCCGATAATTCTCTCGTGGACAGCTGTGTTATGGAAGAAGTGCTTCCGTTATCAACACGCAACTACGTCCACTATCAAGGGAAGTGTCATTTCCGATTCCTATATTATCTAGCTTATTAGAGACCTTTAATATTTAGATTTAGGATATTTTCTGGTTACGACACGACACGAGACAGCTACAAAACCAAGGTAAATATTCCTTGGTCCTTATCTCATAATCAATATACCAATATTTCCTCTGATATAGTTGTCATATTAGGATTACTGATATTATTTGTGGGTGCCCTTTGACAGGTGGAACAGAAGAGGAACAAGAATTAACACTAGTAACCTAGTACTCCAGTACATGAGTTGGGAGCCAGCCACACCCACAAGTGTATCGACTGGCTTATTCATCTGTGTTCATACTGGTTGTCTAGGATATAACAACAATAAGATAAGACCTTCTATTTTAGTTAATAATATGTAGTCTAATATTGTAGTGAATATCTACTAACCAATAATTTATATTGTTGACGACATATACACCAGAAAACGCCCCAAAATGTGTAAGGAAGCGATTTGTGAAACATTTTAAGAAATACAGTCCACTTTAACTATCACAGTTTGCTATCGAAATAAATATAAATCTCACAGGTCAATTACCCACAGGAATAGCTTGGATCTGAATATGTCACCTTAGGTTTGGATAGGATATTTTAGATTTGGAGTTGGATATTCTTACAAAGATAGAGTAGGAAATGATAGAAATCTGGGAGGTGTATATATATGTTACCTTGTAGAGATTGTAATGAACTCTATGTGGGGGGAACAGGACGAAAACTTGAGAACTCAAGAAAGCTTATAGAATCATGGCTGGTAATGGCGGTTGCTTTAGCAAAATAATAGTTGGGAAAAGGATCACAATATTGATTTTAAATGTGAAATAATCTATACAAATAATATTATTAGAACTAAAAGGGTAGTGGAAGGGGTTCTAATAAATAATCTGAATACTTTTGCTGGCAACAAAAGCATTACTTTGAAGGATATCTTTACCAGAAAAATTATTCTAAGTGACTTAACATTAGATCTCAATAAATGGATGAATGTTAGTAATCCCAATAGAGGCTATTGGGACTACTAACATTCATCCATTTGGGTATGGAGGGAGGCGAAACTCTCCTTAGTGTATGGAGGGAGTTACGAGGGATAGCATCTAGATGAACACCTCTGTTAATAGCAACTCCAGTTCTCAAAATATCAGGATTACAGAATGGACACCTGACCATAATTCCATAGACAACATCACTGCAGGTGCATCGGCAGTCGAAAATAGAGGTGACCTGGTCAGGAGGTCAAGAAGAATAAGAGGATTGGACTCAATGTGAAGAGACATCATCACCCCTGCACTCACTCATGGTACTTGTGTACTTTCTCGACCATGATTCATCGGATTAAAGTTCGGTTTCGAGGTGAAACCTCATTCACCCGGCCCCAGATATTGTCGAAAATAATGGACATCACCAACGCAGCACCAGTGGACATCCGCGCCGACAGTGTAGACGCATAACTTCTCTACTCAAACGAGGAAGCTCTGGAACAAATGTTAGCTCCCGAACATTAGGACGCCCTACCCGTTTGCTACCTGGCTGATAAAACAGTTTTTGTCAGCCGCACCAGTATCTTCATCGCCACCCAGGAACCTGACACCATATTGACAAGCATCAACACCATGAACCCGGCTCTGACTACAGTCAAAGTTAAAGTCATCAAGAACGACGACAACCTCAGACCTACCCTGAAGATGACCTTCTCTACAGCTGCAGCAGCGACCCAAGCAGTGGAGAACGGATTCAGATGCCTCGACATTTCGATCACCCGAACACCGTCAAGAAAGAACGGTCCCTCCAACTTCGTCAGTGCTTTAAGTGTTACAAGTACGACCACTACACCAGGAACTGTGAAATCTTCGAGGGAAAATTCGGCATCTGCACCGAAGAACATCATTACAAGGACTGCCAATCAACCACCCAACTATGCATCAACTGAGGAGGATCTCATACCGCCGTCTTCATGGAATGGCTTACAAATACTGAAGAAATTAAAAAGTCAACTTCCGACAGGTCAACTATCAATCAGCCCGCGAGTTTTAACATCCAGGCCACGACGTTCCCAACTTCTCTGCTACGACGGACGTCTGCACCAGTCCAGCACACAGGTGACGATGGCCCAACCCACCAGCTCATCACCCAGCCAATCAACGGGCCCGACCGCCATCAGCATAGTCGTTGTTCTGATTCACCTTGCAGAGAATCTGGCAGGAACAGATATCACCAAATACGTGAAAGTACTCAACAGACTGCTCACATCAAACGGACTACCCAAGATGTCTGTACTAACCAACCTACTCCAGACTTCACAATCAACCACAGTTCAGCCTGACTCAACCCTAAACTTTGGGATATTGCAGAAGCAACAGCGGGAGCAACTACAGCGACAACCCGGAGTCGTCGAGTCCAACTACAACAACCCAACCTGAATCAGCCTCAACGAGCGGGAACATCTAGCGAACTACCACACATCTAACCAGAGACCCCATCCCAGCACCAGTGCAAGCGACGCTCTCAACTTCAATCAATCACACCCAGGAAGACCCGACACATCAACCATCAGGATTGATGTGTCGGGTCAACTAGATGCAGCTTCAACAACCACTCCCAATTTGCGACCCAGAAAGCCCCACCAGCGTGGTGTCCTGGCAAAGGTAATTCGAGGCATATACATCGTGGATTAAGCGCTCCTCCTGGTCAGCCAGAGGACTCTAGACCTGGCAGCCCAACAACAAGTCATCCATAAACCGATCATCGTCAGGAATCTCCTCAAACAGGAACGGATCCACAACTCTGAATTCTTTAGTGAAATACTACATCGCTTCCGCCAGGTACACGAAGGCCACCCAGAACCAGCCATCTACATGGAAACCGCCAGCCACTTCTGTGATTAGATCCAGTCTGTATCACTAAATCCAGACCTCAGAGAATATGCATGACACGACCCCAGCAGCCCCTCCATCGAAGATGTACAGAAATCTTTGAAGGGGAAACCTCTTGCTGAGAGATCCAAATCGAAACTGGCCATATTCTGTGAATAAGAAATAACGCACCACCATCGCCGAGAAGACACCTCCACCAAGCCAGTTGAAGCAACACGGTCACCAGCAGACCAGCCAACCGCCACTCCACAACCCACCTACTGCAGAACAAGAAAAACATCAAAATGAACAAAAACAAAGACCAAAACATTATGCCAGCCCATAGTGGATAGGCCACCGAACTTTCAATCCTCCTCGATACCCTTACAAATCCTCTTCAAGAATTTCCAACTCCTCGTCCTTCTTCCTCCCCCCAAACCTTTCCAAGTCCTTTCCAGGGTAGCAGCCTCATTAGTCGTTGAGATGTAAGTCCCGTCCTCACCACACACTCACACCTTGACAAAGCACTCAGGAGAGTGCGAAAGACTTGGAGTAATGCTTTACATAAATTTCACAGTTACATGTGTGGATTTTTTACCCTATCATAAATGATGATGCAAAAATATCATATCTTAAAGAAATATATGTGTGTGAGGATTGAAGTCTTTGTCCTTGAGATACAGAGCTGGCAGATATAGGATACATACATGTGAAATTATGAGTACAGCATCTAGGAAGTTATTTCGGTTAAACTCGGTAACAATAATATAACACGAAGAAATATATTATCTAGAAAAATGTATGTGTACTCGCCTATTCTCACCTATTTGTGATTACGTGAGTACACATAAATTTTTGTGTTGTATTTGTTCAAATTGAGTATTGACCGTATTAATGCAAGTTGTGTGTGATTATATTTGTACCAGTTGTGTATTAATGCATTTGTGTATTGAGTGCATTAGTGCAAATTGTGTATTGATTGTATTTGTGCAATTGTGTATTGACTTAATTTATGCAATTGTGTATTACTGTAATAGTGCAAGTTGTGTATTGATTGCAGTAGCGCTTTCTGGTATGGAAGGCTTTCTGCAGTTGCATCAACTCTTTATGTTCATTAACAAAATCTTTGACTAGAATCTGAAACATATTTATTATAAATATGCAATCTGAAAAAATATTTGTCGACTACGACCAACCGTCACAGAGCTTCATCGAAAATTAACAATACAATAAAATTCCTTTTATTGTATTTTTCTTTTTGGTATGGGGAAGAGGGGAGGTGAGACACCCCCTTCCCATACCCCCTCCCTTAATTTAATCCCTACACTGTCCTTTACCTCCCACACCACCCCTCACGGCCTCTATACCTCCCCTCAGCCCCCACGAAGTCCTTCACCCCCCACACCACCCCTCACGGCCTCTATACCTCCCCTCAGCCCCCACGAAGTCCTTCACCCCCCACACCACCCCTCACGGCCTCTATACCTCCCCTCAGCCCCCACGAAGTACTTCACCCCCCACACCACCCCTCACGGCCTCTATACCTCCCCTCAGCCCCCACGAAGTCCTTCACCCCCCACACCACCCCTCACGGCCTCTATACCTCCCCTCAGCCCCCACGAAGTCCTTCACCCTCCACACCACCCCTCACGGCCTCTATACCTCCCCTCAGCCCCCACGAAGTCCTTCACCCTCCACACCACCCCTCACGGCCTCTATACCTCCCCTCAGCCCCCACGAAGTCCCTCACCCTCCACACCACCCCTCACGGCCTCTATACCTCCCCTCAGCCCCCACGAAGTCCTTCACCCTCCACACCACCCCTCACGGCCTCTATACCTCCCCTCAGCCCCCACGAAGTCCTTCACCCTCCACACCACCCCTCACGGCCTCTATACCTCCCCTCAGCCCCCACGAAGTCCCTCACCCCAACATTATCTCACCTCATGTAGTCGTGGAGAAGGTGAGGCTGGAGGTAGCTGAGGACGCGGTGGGCGTGTTGGTAGTCAGGTGCGGGCGCTGGGATGACGTGCTCCACGGAGTGGCGGGAACCCTGGCTATAGCCCCACGCCAGCCCCACACACACGCCCACGCCCACACACACCAGACACACCAACATCATCAGCACCTGCAACAAACATGGCAGGACTTGATCAGCACCTGTAACATACATGGCAGGACTTGGTCAGCACCTGTAACATGACAGGACTTGATCAGCACCTGTAACAAACATGGCAGGACTTGGTCAGCACCTGTAACAAACATGGCAGGACTTGGTCAGCACTTGTAACATGGCAGGACTTGATCAGCACCTGTAACATGACAGGACTTGGTCAGCACCTGTAACATGGCAGGACTTGATCAGCACCTGTAACATGGCAGGACTTGATCAGCACCTGTAACATGGCAGGACTTGATCAGCACCTGTAACATGGCAGGACTTGATCAACACCTGTAACATGGCAGGACTTGATCAGTACCTGTAACAAACATGGCAGGACTTGATCAGCACCTGTAACAAACATGGCAGGACTTGATCAGTACCTGTAACAAACATGGCAGGACTTGATCAGCACCTGTAACATGGCAGGACTTGATCAGCACCTGTAACAAACATGGCAGGACTTGGTCAGCACCTGTAACATGGCAGGACTTGATCAGAACCTGTAACAAACATGGCAGGACTTGATCAGCACCTGTAACATGGCAGGACTTGATCAGCACCTGTAACATGGCAGGACTTGATCACCTGTAACATGGCAGGACTTGATCAGTACCTGTAACAAACATGGCAGGACTTGATCAGCACCTGTAACATGGCAGGACTTGATCAGCACCTGTAACATACATGGCAGGACTTGATCAGCACCTGCAACATGGCAGGACTTGATCAGCACCTGTAACATGGCAGGACTTGATCACCACCTGTAACATGGCAGGACTTGATCACCTGTAACATGGCAGGACTTGATCAGCCCCTGCAACATGGCAGGACTTGATCACCACATGTAACATGGCAGGACTTGATCAGCACCTGTAACATACATGGCAGGACTTGATCAGCACCTGTAACATGGCAGGACTTGATCAGCACCTATAACATGGCAGGACTTGATCAGCACCTGTAACATGGCAGGACTTGATCAGCACCTATAACATGGCAGGACTTGATCAGCACCTGTAACATACATGGCAGGACTTGATCAGCACCTGTAACATACATGGCAGGACTTGATCAGCACCTGCAACATGGCAGGACTTGATCACCACCTGCAACATGGCAGGACTTGATCAGCACCTGTAACATGGCAGGACTTGATCAGCACCTGTAACATGGCAGGACTTGATCACCACCTGTAACAAACATGGCAGGCCTTGATCAGCCCCTGTAACATGGCAGGCCTTGATCAGCCCCTGTAACATTGCCGGCCTTGATCAGCCCCTGTAACATGGCAGGCCTTGATCAGCCCCTGTAACATGGCAGGACTTGATCAGCCCCTGTAACATGGCAGGACTTGATCAGCACCTGCAACATGGCAGGACTTGATCAGCACCTGCAACATGGCAGGACTTGATCAGCCCCTGTAACATGGCAGGACTTGATCACCACCTGTAACATGGCAGGACTTGATCAGCCCCTGCAACATGGCAGGACTTGATCACCACCTGTAACATGGCAGGACTTGATCACCACCTGTAACATGGCAGGACTTGATCAGACCTGTAACATGGCAGGACTTGATCAGATGTAGATCAGGTCTTTCTATGCTACAACATGGCAGGACTTGATCAGTTCCCCCTGCTAACATGGCAGGACTTGATCAGCCACCTGCAACATGGCAGGACTTGATCACCACCTGTAACATGGCAGGACTTGATCACCACCTGTAACATGGCAGGACTTGATCACCACTGCTGAAACATGGCAGGACTTGATCACCACCTGTAACACTGGCAGGCCTTGATCAGCCCCTGTATACATGGCAGGCTTGATCAGCCCTGTAACATGGCAGTACTTGATCAGCACTGTAACAGCCCCTTGATCAGCCCCTGCAACATGGCAGGACTTGATCACCTGGAGAACATGGCAGGACTTGATCACCACCTGTAACTGGCAGGACTTGATCAGCCTCTGTAACATGGCAGGACTTGATCACCACCTGTAACATGGCAGGCCTTGATCTGTACCCCTGCAACATGGCAGGAGAGGTACATAATATGGCAGGCCTTGATCAGCCGTGGAAAACATTAGAGGACTTGATCACCCCTGCAACATGGCAGGACTTGATCACCACCTGTAACATGGCAGGACTTGAATCCCCCCTGAAAAGCAGATGGCAGGTACTTGAGAGAACCTATCAACATGGCAGAGACTGTTGAACACGCCCCTGTAACATGGCAGGACTTGATGGCCCCTGCAACATGGCAGGACTTGATCACCACCTCCAACATGGCATACTTGATCACCACCTGTAACATGGCAGGACTTGAGCAGCCCCGTCCAACATGGCAGGCCTTGATCAGCCCCTGCAAACAGGAGGCCTGATCGCGGCCCGGTCGTGTTACATGGGGACTTGCTCAGCCCCGGAAGCATCTCAGGATGTAACCTCAAGGTACATGGCAGGACTTGATCAGCACCTGTAACATGGCAGGACTTGATCAGCACCTGTAACATGGCAGGACTTGATCAACACCTGTAACATGGCAGGACTTGATCAACACCTGTAACATGGCAGGACTTGATCACCACCTGTAACATGGCAGGACTTGATCAGCACCTGTAAAAACATGGCAGGACTTGATCAGCACCTGTAACATGGCAGGACTTGATCAGCACCTGTAACATGGCAGGACTTGATCACCACCTGTAACATGGCAGGACTTGATCAGCACCTGCAACATGGCAGGACTTGATCAGCACCTGTAACATGGCAGGACTTGATCACCACCTGTAACATGGCAGGACTTGATCAGCACCTGTAACATGGCAGGACTTGATCAGCCCCTGCAACATGGCAGGACTTGATCACCACCTGTAACATGGCAGGACTTGATCACCACCTGTAACATGGCAGGACTTGATCAGCACCTGCAACATGGCAGGACTTGATCACCACCTGCAACATGGCAGGACTTGATCACCACCTGTAACATGGCAGGACTTGATCATCACCTGCAACATGGCAGGACTTGATCACCACCTGTAACATGGCAGGACTTGATCACCACCTGTAACATGGCAGGACTTGATCAGCCCCTGCAACATGGCAGGACTTGATCACCACCTGTAACATGGCAGGACTTGATCATCCCCTGCAACATGGCAGGACTTGATCACCACCTGTAACATGGCAGGACTTGATCACCACCTGTAACATGGCAGGACTTGATCCCCTGCAACATGGCCTGCAACATGGCAGGACTTGATCACCACCTGTAACATGGCAGGATGGCATGGCAGGACTTGATAACATGGCAGGACATGATCACCTGTAACATGGCAGGACTTCATCAGCACCTGTAACATGGCAGGACTTGATCACCACCTGTAACATGGCAGGACTTGATCACCACCTGTAACATGGCAGGACTTGATCACCACCTGTAACATGGCAGGACTTGATCACCACCTGCAACATGGCAGGACTTGATCACCACCTGCAACATGGCAGGACTTGATCACCACCTGTAACATGGCAGGACTTGATCACCACCTGCAACATGGCAGGACTTGATCACCACCTGCAACATGGCAGGACTTGATCACCACCTGTAACATGGCAGGACTTGATCACCACCTGCAACATGGCAGGACTTGATGACCACCTGTAACATGGCAGGACTTGATCACCACCTGTAACATGGCAGGACTTGATCACCACCTGTAACATGGCAGGACTTGATCACCACCTGTAACATGGCAGGACTTGATGACCACCTGTAACATGGCAGGACTTGATGACCACCTGTAACATGGCAGGACTTGATCACCACCTGCAACATGGCAGGACTTGATCACCACCTGTAACATGGCAGGACTTGATCACCACCTGTAACATGGCAGGACTTGATGACCACCTGTAACATGGCAGGACTTGATCACCACCTGTAACATGGCAGGACTTGATCACCACCTGTAACATGGCAGGACTTGATCACCACCTGTAACATGGCAGGACTTGATCACCACCTGTAACATGGCAGGACTTGATCACCACCTGCAACATGGCAGGACTTGATCACCACCTGTAACATGGCAGGACTTGATCACCACCTGTAACATGGCAGGACTTGATGACCACCTGTAACATGGCAGGACTTGATCACCACCTGCAACATGGCAGGACTTGATGACCACCTGTAACATGGCAGGACTGACCACCTGTAACATGATCACCACCTGTAACATGGCAGGACTTGATCACCACCTGTAACATGGCAGGACTTGATCACCACCTGCAACATGGCAGGACTTGATCACCACCTGTAACATGGCAGGACTTGATCACCACCTGTAACATGGCAGGACTTGATCACCACCTGTAACATGGCAGGACTTGATCACCACCTGTAACATGGCAGGACTTGATCACCACCTGTAACATGGCAGGACTTGATCACCACCTGTAACATGGCAGGACTTGATGACCACCTGTAACATGGCAGGACTTGATCACCACCTGTAACATGGCAGGACTTGATCACAACCTTCCTGTCGCTTGGCTTCCAGGAACTCCTCACTCTTCCTAACACACAGTATTGACAGTCCGCCATGTTGGGCAATGCAGTGATACAAAGCGCGAACATTTGGGCCCAAACAGTTCAGTTTTTAACGTTGGGGATAATAGTTGCTATAAGCAAAGGTGGACAAGTCCGAGTTGGAAATGGCCTGAATTCTTTAAACTGGGAACATTATGAGGATAGTGACCAGGAACCTCAGTCCGTCACAGCGGGGCGAGAGTGAGATTGATTGATGAAGATTAAGCCACCCAAAAGGTGGCACGGGCATGAATAGCCCGTAAGTGGTGGCCCTTTTGAGCCATTACCAGTATCAATAGATGATACTGGAGATCTGTGGAGGTGCGACTGCACCCTGCGTGACGGGAGATGTCTCCCGTGCGAGAATGA